GCTTAAACACCGATACTCCACGGGCACCCAAAGAGAGGGGCCCATAGCAACTGCACAAGCTGAGGGACAAGCAGACCTGAAACCCAAGAGGGACACCAGACTTGTGTGCCACAGCACACCCCCGTTGGCACATGACAATCATGGTGTTCACCTGAGCACCAGAGAGCCAGGCAAAGGGACAGGGGAGTGGACTCAAAGGCAGGACCCCAGGACTGTACCACACAGGTCCGCACAAAGCAAGGAGGAGATCAAGGCTAAGGGAAGGGAAAGAGAAAATAAGGAAAAAAAAAAAAAGAGCATCACAGAGCCAAGTCAGAAAGTCTGAAAGGACCAGCAGCCTCCATTCCTCCCATGTCCTCCCCAGAGTCAAGAGACAACATGTCTGTGTTGTTTCTGTTCTAAACTAATGTTTTCTTTCATTACAAAACCTCAATTAGTCAGTTTGACAGACATAAAATAATATTTTTGTACAAACAGGGTGAGTCTCAAAGGGACTATTAGCCTAAAACTTGACATGTGTAGGTGGGTTGTGCAGTTTATGCCTAAAAAGGAAACACTCCACACCCAGCCGAGTTGGAAGAAACTGGCCAAGTGGAGGATGAAAGAAGTAGTGACAGGCCTAAAAAAATATCTACAGCAGACTGAGCTGAAATAGGACCTGAGACGCAACTGTCTGTTGATCCAGCTACTGTTTCCTGAAGCCCTCATCAGATATGTTCTCAGTGGAAAGGTGGCTGTCAAGAAGCCATTAGGTAGGGAAACAGGCTGAAGCATGACAAACTACACAAGAACTGGACAAAAACAGATTCAATACATCTTGTGGAGTGATGACACCAAACTTGAAATGTTTGGTTTAAATCATTGTCAATATGCATGGAGTGTCTGCAGTTATCTGTGAAACACGGTGGAGGCTCTGCCATGGTTTGAAACTGCATTTCAGCCGGTGGTGTTGGAGACAGAGAATTACCATCAGATTTGGATCCACAATGTTAGACCACCTGGAAATCATCTGACTGGTGCTGACAATTGACTATTAGTCATGGATTGGCCTCCCCCAAGGAAAATATCCTTCAAAAAGCCCGGAGAACAATTCGTGAAACTACTTAAAGGAAATAAAAGTGGCCCAAATTTCTTACTTTCCTCCAAAATATAAAAAAATGAAGGGTGACTCAGAACTTTTGAACAGTACTGTAGCAACTGCTTCCATGTGGAGTCGATTCTGCTTCCTTGCTTGCAGCAAATGTCTCTTCCCACAGGCCTCTGTGGAAAAACCTTGTATGATTACTAAGAATTACAGCTTATATCTGCTATAAACTATCATTACCCAGAGAGTGGTGCTTTTCCCATACAACCTGATTCTGCAGTGTGTATTCATTAAAGACTGTGTTTAGTGTGAGACACAACCTGTGATGTTTTCATGGGTTGCTATAAATACAAAACTTTCTGTCACAGTGGATCAAATTTAATCTCTGACCCTGTTCTTTAGGGCTTTAGAAACTGACTCCATGTTTCATTTAGTTTGACCTTAAATGAGACTGAGCCCATAAACTTACCAGGACAACATTTACAAAGCTCACTTCATGCTTCGTTACAGCTGACAGTGTTGGAGGCGTGATGATTCATCCACCTCACAGCTATTGAGTTCAACATCAACTTCTCTGTACACCAAAGTATTATATTAAAGCTTGGCTGAAACTGGATCATCAGGGAAAGTGATCCCAAGCACAGCAGCAAATCTACACCACTGAAAGTGAAAAGAACCAAAGTGCAGCAATGAGCCGGTCAGTCCAAACCTCAGCCTGACTCAAATACTGTTGTGGGACCTTCAGAGAGCTGTGCATGAACAAATACTTGCATGTCAGGATGTAAAGATGACCCATAAAATCATACCAAAACTATTACATCAAGTTAATCCTACTATGTGTGGTACTGAATAAGAGTCTGTGCTCAGTTTTTTGCAGGACTGCTTCTGTAGTTTGACTTATTTTCTATTAAGTAAACAACAACAGGGCATAATATGTGCTTTTGTTTATTTGAGGTTTTATATAAAAAAAAATTTAAGAGCTTTTTTATTTTTTGTATGTCCTGTTATGTAACCCTCAGAATGGACAGCGTATGTACTCTCTGTTCAGTGGGTGTATTTAGTCAGACATAAATACCGTCACAGCTCGACTGTGGAGGCAGAATAAGGGAGTAACTTAGAAACTTTATTTACAAAAACAGAAATCATTTACAAAACCAAGAGAAACAACACAAAAACAAACACATAGTGCCTGGATGGCCCATAAATGTGGCTTTAAACAGGAGGCAATGACACACATTAGAGAAAACAGATGAAAACATGTGTGGCACACTGTACCATTAAACAGTAAAGGAACTTTACTCCACACTGACTCATTTAAAAACACACACTGGTGTCTTTGGGATCATCTGATTGTGTTGGCATCAAGAAATCAACAATCACGACCCTCTAACCATCCATCAGCTTTGACAGAGATACAGTCGACGCCCAAAGAAGAACCACAAAACCAAATGCACAAGAGGAAGGTCACATCAACAGGAAGCTCCACATTTTATATTTCTGAACATCTTTTTATGTCCTCTGGCTCTTTGCTGTGCTGTAAACACAACCTGCTTTATCCTGGAGTCATAGCAGCAGATTGCTATGTAGCTCCCTCTAGTGGGAACACCGAATGTAATGTGTTAACCTGGAAGTTCACTGCTGATGTGATTTGATGCTGCATAAAGAAAAGTGAAATGAATTGTCAGCAGATAATCAAAAACAAAAAAGTAACTGAAAGTGAAACGCAATTAAAAACATCATGAGTTTGGACTTTTCTATCATCTGATCGTCTCTGTGGGTCATTGCATCTGTAAACACCGGAGCTGGAAAAGTTTGAATGACTTCTGATAGAACTTTTCAGGGATTCAGAGTGGGGTCATGTTTGATGGTTTACTGATGGAAAACTAACAAAAAAGAGTTAAACTTTATGATTCTTACAAGTGTGGTGTGTATCGTTAATGTCACATATGATGTCACATTTGACCTCTGACCTCACTTTTACATTTCACATCTGTCTTTCTTTTACGTTGACCCAAAAATGTGTTAAATCTTTAAAGTATTGTCGGGGGAATGAATGAGTTACTTATAAATAAATGTTAGTTATAAATATAATGCAGTACAATATTACATAATAAGTTCAAGTCATTAATGTCCATTTATTTACACATACTTATTATCCTTCTCCAGTGTAATGTTATATAAAAATACAGTATTCTTGCTTAAAAGTAAGCACTGCACAGTCAATGAGCTGCCTGAGGTTTGTGCTCTCAGAGAGCTTCTTGTTCTTTAGTTTTCACTGCTGGTTAAGGCTGACTGTGCTGTACTCTGAGTCTCTGTTTCCTGGTTTTCCTCGCCCTCTTTGATCACCTCACTCATGTCAACAGCAGATGTGTCGTCTTCCAGCTGTTCTGATGGCGGCTCTTCTTTTATTTCTTTGGTCTCGGTGTCGTCAGCAGGAGCTCTGCTGCCTTTTTGTTTCATTGTTTTTAACTCAGTTTCATTCACCTTGGTGTCTAAACACAGAAAGGAAAAGTGTCATACATATACATGTGTTTGTGTTTGAATACAGCTTTCCTATTGAAATTTTTATGTGACCATAAAATACCTGTAACTGTGTTGGAACATTAAAATAATTTTATAATAGTAAATAATAGTACGCATTAGTCAGAGCAATTATCATGCGTTTGTTGATTTATATTCCTGTTCAACCCCACTGACACTCCCTCTGGTCCCTCCTGCTGGTTAAGATCCTGTAATGTTACATTCATCCCTGAACCACAGTGTAAAAATACTGAGCAATCATCAACTGGAAACTGAGCAGTGTAAGAATAAAATATTCATTCAGGTAAGATAATGCTGAAATGATCCCTTGTTAATTTCCAAAGTCCAGAGCAGCATTACTGTCCATGAACGAACATATTCAGACTCCTATAAAGGGAAACAAAGCTGACACTGTGCTCAATTTAGTCTCAGAAATTCAGCCTTTCATACTCCAGAAAACATAGAGAAGGGAAACAAACGTGTGACGCACCAGGTTTTTTTGATAGGATGAAATTCCAAACGAAAGCGATAACAGCACCAACGTACAGCAGGCCAATGATCACGATGATGAAAGTGGCCGATGGTTCCTTCCTGACAGCAGAGCCTTAAAACATAAAGAAATAGAAGAATATTCCTGTAAAACTAGCTCTGATTTGGTTCAAACTGCACATGATGAGGGTGAAATAATAAAATAGTTTGTTTCTGAATGTGAGTCATTATTACCTGGAACATGTATGTGTGTCTCTCTGCTCTGGTTGGTGTTCCTCTGTTGGACTCTGCAGGTGATGTTGTTGCTGTGTCTCTTCTCCACAGTCACTCTGCTGCTGACAGTATAGAGGTCATCAGGACCTCTGAGGGTCTCTGTAGGTCCAGCAGAGAGGAGGTTTCCCTCACCGTCCAACCACAGCAGCTCAGGCTCTGGATACCAGCCTGCAGACTCACACTGTAACACCACCCTGCTGCTGACATTTGACATCACCTTTATGACGGGTGTAGAGACTGACCCTGAGGAAGGGAGACGAGAGAAACCACTGAGCCATTGCATGCAGGGTAATTGGATAGACCTTTTTCAAAGCTTTTTCTTTAATTTCACCTCATTCTTCACAGTAAAAAAAGAGTTTGACGTCTCTAGATGCTTCTATAATTAGTAAAATACATTTTTTAAAATAAAAATATTACCATTGTTACCTTGTGTTACGCCTCCAGCAGAATTGATCTTTTAGGGTTCATATGCAAAAAAAGCCCGTTTTTGTCTCACACATTGAAACTTCTCCACTCCGTAGAGCTTTATAAGACGGGTCCTGGATGATATGATGAAGAGCAAGATGTTCATGACTGAGATTCTAAAAAGTGCCAAACAACTGCTCACAGGTCTGTTCACTCGTTTGAGGCTGAAGAGATATGCCAGAGAAGCAGAGGCCTGGAGAGTAAATAGGCTGCTCTCCAAATATTAGTCCAAGGTGTACTCTCAGCTTCAAGAGAAGACTAGAACAATGTCTGCAAGAACATCTGGGAGAAGGGCACATCACACAACACTAACAGCAAGTGGGTGGTGGACCTAAGAGTAGACCACAGAGAGTCAGTCAACATCAGAAATGCAGACAACTAACAATGAGTCTCCAGAATGAAGAGCTGGACAGCATCAGGACCTGACATGTTTTATACATACTATTTCATAACAGTCATAAGATACTCAGCTGCAGTAACAAAATCATCACATGAGAAGATGTGACTGATGTAAAGACAGATACAGATTATTATGCGTGCAGGATTCCACCCAAAGTCCAGCATCCTGATGCTCTATGAGCAACAGAGAAATGGTGAGAATTCATGTGGCAGAACCACAATCCAGGATTAAACACAAACAATCCATGAATACATCAGGAAAAAGCCCCCCTGAGATCAGCTGCTTCAAGACTCCATCAGCCAGCTGAAGAGGACAATGAGGAGGAACAGGACAGAAACTGTCATGGACGACCAAACACCTGCATGGGATGTTGAATTCTATTCTACCATCGACAGATTGAGGAAATGGCTGGTATCAAGAAATCCTACCAGTGGTTGGAAAAGACCACCTTACAGGACTGTACAGAGGCTCTGATCATGGCAGCACAAGAAGAGGCCCTAAGATCAGATCCATAGAGCTAAGACTCTACCACAGCCAAAAGGACCAGAGCTACAGGCTGCCCCAAGGTGTCCCAGAGACTATCTGACACATAGCAACATGAGGTAAGGTACAAGCACAAGTACAAGGTACAGGAATGAGCACAACCAGGTGTCTGAGATAGTGTACAGGAACATCAGAGGTTTACCTCTGCAGAAGAGAAGTGTTAGAAGCACCAAAACAGCAGTGACAGCTGACGGTCTCCAGAAGATCTCCTGAAGAGACATCCTTCGCTTCTTATCTGAAAGTCAAAACAAAAGGCTTTTACTCTCTTCAGCTCTCAGTGAAGCATGCTAACAGTCTGATATTGTGAAACTGATTCGGTAATATGGTTATTTCTAGAAAAAAAACTTCCCTTTAACGTCCATTCTAAATTTGTTTTCTATTTTTTAATGAGTGATGTTCAGTCTTTATAAAAAACAAAACAAAATAAAGGTCATTCAAAAGATCATCATTACTGCATTTAATGAAAAGATATGATCATAAATTATTCATCAGAGATTTGGGAAATTGTTTTGTCAGTTCAAACAAAATGATTGAAGTAAACACAACACCTGTCTGAACTTTCTCTAAGTGAGCGCTCAAACACATTTTAAAGTTGTTTGTTTCTGAAATGTCACTCCTGTGTGAGGTTAGGAATGTTGACCGACCAGTAAACCAACAGCTTACAGTTTTCTCTCAGGCCACATCTCTGCAGACGCTGCACCAGTCTGTCGATCCACTCTCACTGCACTGCTATAAATAGAACGTTGAGATACTTGAACTTGTCCACTTAGGTGTTAATTTTCATTCCTCTCTCTCAACACTGAACTGCAATCTGCCGCAGAACGGAGGCTGAAGATCTTCACTTGAAAAGCCAACAAAAGCGCATCAGCCACAGAAATGAAAAAGCTCGGCTGTGTGCAGAAACTGTCTGTAAAGATTATAATCAGAACTGTGACATGTTTCCAGCAATGGAAAGGTTTCAGACCCTCGCTTTGACATCAACACTGGGCCTGAAACCCCACAGTCTCAGAGGTTACATGATGCACAAACCCTGTTTTATTTTTGATTCAATATGAACTTATCTTCATATGAATATAAGTTCAAAATAAAGTTCAACATGGACTGATGAGAACATATTTTATGTCTTTCTTTAGTCATCGAAATATGACTAAAATATGTCATATATGTTTGGTCGTCCCTCCCTCAGCCTGCTTCTACAACAGGTCTTCTTCTTCTCCCTGTCACCAAGTGCTTGCTCATAGTGGAGCGCCGGGGTTTCTCTGTATTATTGTCTTTACCTCACAATATAAAGTGCGTTGAGGTGACTGCTTAAATTAATTAATAAATGAATCAAATTAAATTAGACACACATCTTTCATGCTTTTATTCTTTGCCATAGAACACATTAACATCTGTCTTTCACCACTTGCCCTAATACTTCTGTTTCATCACAGACCTCCACCCAGAGAGTGAAAGGCAGACATCAGCCTGTTATGGTGTCACTGGGATGTTGTAGGGCATCAAATTGAAAAAATGAAAAGTGTGTCGTATGGCTCTCTCCACGCCTTTTCATATGATATATCACTCAAGATGGTTTCTTGAAATAATTTTCCAAGGTTAACTTTGACTTTGGGTGCAAGAACAATAAAGGTCAAGGTTTAAATGTTTAGCCAGCCTAGCTACTCATGACCCTGAAGGCCTAGTTTATTGTGGCAAAGTTTGAAGATAACGCATCTTGAAACCTGTGAACGGTGGACTATCAAACAGACAGAGCTGATTAATCTCACATTAATAATGATAATAAAAAACAAACAAATGTAAAACAGTCTGTGCTCATATTGCACGTGAGCACAGAGGGACACCGGTTTGCATCTTGTATCAGTAAGCCTACATATGGAAACATTTAATGTCCACTTAGGTGTTACCACAATATCACACTGACACAACGTGAAGCGAGACCACAGAGTGTAAGTGTAACTTTAACAAATGTAAATGTAAGATGTGCATAGTTAGAGTTGCTTTTAATTTAATGACGACCTCATGAGCTCGGATCAAGGATCGTGGCTCGTGTTAACAATGATGTCACAGTCCGACACAGGCAAGTGTGTACTCTGTATAATGTGATTTCTTTGCATGATTTTAGGTCAAATAAACAAACCTGATCCACCTTCAATCAGTGGAAACAGTTGAGATGCTGACTTTGAACCAAGAGGAACAAAAATAACAACGTAAGCGTGGGAATCTGACTCCACCCCAGGACGCTCTGTAAAGAAACAGGGTGGTTTTATAGGGTGGGTTTGTGTGTTATTCAGAGCGCTAATAAAAGAAAAATATCTGGAAAAAGAAACAGTTCTGTGTTTTGTGTCTTTTTGACAAATTACTTCTAGTAAAAATCAAAGTAATGTGGACAGAAAGTCTGACTTTATAAGAGAAAATTTGTTGTTAAGACCATAATTCATCTTTAAATATCGTTTTTAGAAAATGTTTGTTTATGATGCTGCTAATGCTGAAACTTGTCCGCTGTGTTCACCTGTTCATCGGTCTGCTAAAGCTGGACGTGCACCATCACACTCACCAGGAACTCTACAGCGAAACAGAGACACACGCCTACACAGACACATTATTATATATTAAAAAAGGCTTACCGCAGTGGTGCAGACTGTAACTCCTGTTGTCCTGAGTTTTACAGTAAATCGGTCGTTATAAAGTCGTTATGAGAGTTTGCTGGAGCTCAGCAGAGATAAAAAACCAGCAGAAAGGCAGCACGTCATCGTCTTTGGGCTCTGCTGTGGTCAAACTGGATGCTCTGGTAAGTTGGCATCAGATTCTGAATGAAACAAGTTTTTACTTGTCTTAACTGCACAGTCTGGCTTCAGATTACACAAACTGCGAAGCATTACTAACAGAGACTGCTACAGGTCACAAATCTCACAGATGACACACTTACTGATCAGTGTGTTTTGTGTCTGATAATAAAACCATTAAATCCAGTGATCGCCGTCTCTGTCTTACACTGTGAGTCTGTTACCTGTGAGAGTGACCCAGCGTGCGTCACACTCTGATCGCCCTCGCTGTAATCACAGATTACAGATCCAGCTGAACATTCTGCTGAACTGAAAGTAAAACTGCAAAACTAAAGCCCTGTACACATGGACAAAATACACACCGCGTATTTTAATATTGCATGCAAATACTGTACATCTTGTAATTGGTGTGTGTGTGTGTGTGTATATTGTATATACAAATACATCTACACACATAGTTTACACTTTGGATTAGACGCTAAAATTCATTTCATTATGTTGTACACTTTTCAAAGACACTACATGAATCTAATCAAATCCAGGCTGTTGCTCTTCACTCTGAGAAAGGTTGTAAGGTCACTTCCAAACAATCTGAAGTCTTTCTGCGGTGGAAAGTGGAAGCTTGCTGCCGACCCCTCACACCTCAGTTATAAGCTGTGACACTGGTTTGTGCACAAACTTAAATAAATGTGATTCTGAACTTCATCAGTTGTGCAGCACAAAGCACAACATGAAACTGGATGGTCGATAAACATGGATGTAAACTGAAGGCAATGACACACATGAGGAAAATAACACACTAGAAAAGCTGAAAGCACGTCCGTCTGTTGAGTCGCAACAATCATTAACTTCCTAACATCCTCCAGATAATGCGGAGGTAGCTGACAGACTCAAAGAAACAAACGCATAAGGAAGGTCACATGACTCATTTTACATTTCTGAACTTCCTCTTTAAAAGTGACCCACAGGCTGACGTGCACTCTGCTTTATCACAACAGTCAGATCTGTGGTTCCCTCCAGTGGGTAAAGCCTTTACCACACGATGCAGTGTGTGAGTCTGGAAGTGCTGCGAAACAAACTGCAGGGTTTTTAGTTTTTTCTGTGACGTCACTGCAGTTCACTCATAGATGAAAACTCCTGAACACATCACAAGTTTGATGTTTTCCATGATGTGATGATGAAGTGACGGTGAGCACAGAAACAGAGTGTCAAACATGTTTGGAGTCTTCTGTGTCTCACGTCATGCACGTTATGGCGTCAGCTCCTCGAAACATTGGATGCAGCATGAGAGCTAAAGTTCTGTTTTTAAGACAAACGTTGTCAAATTTGAGCTTTTTTCTTTGAACCACTTATTCTGTACTTCTGTTTCTTCTGTTTCTTTTCCTTCTCGTCTTCTTTGATCTCCTCAGCAGCAGATGTGTCGTCTTCCAGCTGTTCTGATGGCGGCACTGCTTTTATTGCTATGATCTCAGTGTTGTCAGCAGGAGCTCTGGTGCATTTTTGTTTTGTTGTTTTCTTCTCAGTTTCAGTCTCTTTGGGGTCTGCACACAGAAATGACAAAATAAGGAGGATTCTTCCTATTAAAAGGGAGTTTTTCCTCCCCACTGTCACCAAAGCATTTGCTCATAGGGGTCATATGACTGTTGTGTTTTTCTCTATGTATTATTGTAGGGTCTACTTTACAATATAAAGCACCTTGAGGTGACTGTTGTTGTGATTTGGTGCTGTATAAATAAAATTGAATTGAATGTGTTTGGTTGTTATCAAAGACTTTTATAGAGTGGAACAAAGGTGACGCTCTGCTTAGTTATTTCAGCTGAGTATCATAAATCTGCAGTGTCAAAAAACATTGTCTGATTATTAATGAGATGGGAAACAAACGTGTGACGCACCAGGTGTTTTTGATGGTATGAAATTCCACACGACAGTGACAACGGTACAAATCCACAGCAGGCCAACGATCACGATGATGAAAGTGGCCGATGGTTCCTTCCTGACAGCAGAGCCTTAAAAGATAAAGAAATACAAGTTATTTTTGTAAAACTAGCTCTGATTTGGTTCAAACTGCACATGATGAGGGTGAAATAATGACATAGTTTCTGACTGTGAGTCATTATTACCTGGAACATGTATGTGTGTCTCTCTGCTCTGGTTGGTGTTCCTCTGTTGGACTCTGCAGGTGATGTTGTTGCTGTGTCTCTTCTCCACAGTCACTCTGCTGCTGACAGTATAGAGGTCATCAGGACCTCTGAGGGTCTCTGTAGGTCCAGCAGAGAGGAGGTTTCCCTCACCGTCCAACCACAGCAGCTCAGGCTCTGGATACCAGCCTGCAGACTCACACTGTAACACCACCCTGCTGCTGACATTTGACATCACCTTTATGACGGGTGTAGATGCTGACCCTGATGAAGGGAGACGAGAGAAATCACAGTAATCTGCTGCACACATGTTACAAAAGAACATTTGGATATCTACTAACTGTGTGTGAGATTATCAATATCGTAACTTTGAATTATTTATTTACACTGGAAAGGACAAATAATGTCACATATTCCAGAAAAATTTTAAAAGATTCTTTTGTGCTAATAAACTTTGACAGTAGGAATTAGTCATAATAAAGTTAAATAAAATAATCTTACCAACAATAAGATGAACATATGACATTTGACCCAGCTGTGGAATGAAACATCTGTACGGTCCTTGATCAGACAGCTGTACTTTGGAGAGAGTCAGTGAGACGTCTCCATGCTTCAGTTTATTAAAGGACAGGGAGGTTCTTCCAGCGTATGACGGCTCTTTCAACTCCACATTTTCTTTATTTTTGTCCCACATGTAGATAAATCTTGGTGTCAGGTCAGTTCTTGCCCACTCCAGCTGCAGCTGTGATAAATCCACAGGAGTTTTCAGGAAACAGGGTAAATCAACATCATCACCCAGCAGAGCCACTATTTGCTTTGTTGGAGCTTCCTGAGAATAACCTGCAAAGAAACACATCAGCTTTGATTTATTGTTGTGGGATTCAGCTGAAAGGCTGATTGAAGCAACACCTCAGACATGGATGGATCTCTGCACAGATGAAGTCTAAAAGAGTCTGTTCTTTATTTAAACTCAGAGAGTAAATGACACAAAGAGCAACAACAATGCAAATAAATTACATTTGTACCATTATGTTAGTAATTTGGTCCCATTTTTTGTGTTTTTTATTGTGTAAAGAGTCTCTGTGTACATGACCAGGGCTCAACTCTTTCATAATCTGAAGATGAACATGTTTTTTCAGCCTGTAGTGGTGTTTTATGCCTCTTAACTTACCTCTGCAGAAGAGAAGAGTTAGAGACACGGCAGCATTAATGAAGGATGAGAGTCGAAGTGTAAAAAGTCCAGAAATCTGATAAAGAGCCATGATTCACCTCTGAAAATTAACAAAAACAAATGCTCTTTATCTCTGTCTTACAGGAAGCAACAGCACAATCCTCTGAAATATTAAACATTACAGTCTTAAATATGAAAGCTCAAATTAGAAAAAAAAATACCTGAAGGAAACAGTTTTAGAGACACTGGAAATAATTTCTTCTTTGTTCAAAGACTTTCTGTACAGATTTCCTCTCTGGTGCTCTTCTTCACCTGCTTCCTGTTCCCACAGCAGCAGAGAAAGCTGAGGGTGTGTGTGAAGATCAGACTGAGCTCCTGAAGAGCATTGCTCATTACTGTGAAAATTAAAAAGAAAAGCAAGCTTCCTGTTACTATTTTCTCTGTCAAAGAAACCAAGACAACAATGTGTTTTGTAACGTAGCTTTTTCTAAACCCTAAAATATCAGAAAGTACAGGTGACAGCTCCTACGCCTCTACGTGTACTTCTGGGTTTTCATGGCTGATTGGATTTGAGGATCGGCTTATTTACACTCATTTGGTTAAATGAGATCGTTCAGATTTTTGTAAGTTTTGATGCTTTTCAGATTTTCTTTTGTCCGTTTGGGTCTAACAGAGCAATACTGAGCAACAACTGTCTCTCACTGCAGTTTTCTAGTAACTCCTCAGAAGGAGAGTCAACAACTCTTCAACAAATTCTAACAATGTGGACACAAAATGGTACAGACTAATCCATTCTACAAAATGGTGCGAAATTCAAAACCTGGTAAAAACTGGAGTCTCTTTCCCAACACTCACTGACTTCACCCGTAGTCTTCATACAGACTCTAGTGGTGGGTGTTTACTCACTCAAGCTAAGTGGCATTAGACAACAGTGGAAATTCATTAATGTGATCTTGAGCGAAATGCTCAAACCACTTTCTGTCACACTGAAAGTGATTCTCTGATAAAACAAGAAGGAACAGCCGATTATTATTATTGTTGGTCTGTGGCAGGGATGTGACGATACAGAAAATAAGAAATCCTACCTCGAACAAATGTTTTTCAAAGCACTGGAATAGCAGCCTCTGTGTCTCCTGCTTCTTCTAAGTATTGTTGTTGGACTTTGAACAATTATAGGTTTTGCTGCTCAAGCCTGGATTGACTCATACATTTGTACAAAGGTTCCTGAATCATTAATCATTACAAAGTTATGAACTCAGAGATTTGTTCTCTTTTTATATCATTGTATTTAACACACACGCATAGCCACACACACAGAAAGTTGTGTTTTCATATTTTTGTGGGGACATCTAATTGACATAATGCTTTCCCTAGCTGCTTACTATAACCATAACCATGACTCTAACCCTGACACTAAAACCGCATTTCGAGTATTTAGCCGTGGTACACACACACACACACACACACACACACACACACAAACCAATTCAAAACCACATGTTGCAAATTTCAGAAATGTTATGAACTCTTTATTGCTGCTCCGATAAGAGCAGAATTCCAGACTGCAGATAAGATCTGTGCACTACTGACAAGTGAGTTTACGCCCTGTAACAGTGGCATAAATAGGTTATTAAAGGTCAGAAGTAACAGAGTCAGAGTGATACTGTGTGATTCTGAGTTTAACCAGTTTTGAATGTGTTTGTGTGGTTGTT